ATTATTATTATTATTATTATTATTATTATTATTATTATTATTATTATTATTATTATTATTATTATAAAGGTTACCAATGTCTCTCCTTGCTTTTAATAGTCTATATTATTAATTTAGTTGGTTCTTTAGTCTGTCATATTCCCTTTCCATTCTTTTTATAAATTCTAGATTAATACAAATTTTAACACTAAAGAAAAAAAGAAGTATAGGTTTCCCCCCTTTTACTGCTTTGAGTGTGACACCTCAATGATTAAAATATACCTTTATTCCCTCATCTTGATTCCCAATAAACCATTATTTTTAATAAGTTACAATAATAATTATTACATCTTTTCATTTGGATTCCGCAGCATATTTTCCCCCCTTGATTTTTAATAAGAGTTATCAGTATCTATATTACCCTATTTTCTAAATATTTTTAATTGCAGAAATATTCTTATTACTCCTTGTCACCCTGCAGAATCCCCTTTTTAATTCATCAACCATTATCTCTGAAAAAAACAATTTATTTTCAACATTTTACTATTTTCGTATTTCTTTATTTCATGCACCTGTTTCTTACTGCTTCTCCTCCCCCTCTTTTCCCCATATCTTTTCTCATTCCAGTTTATATCCCTCTCTTTCTTAATATCTTCCTTTTCCCTTTTCTGCTGGGTCTTTCTGCCTTTCCCGACTTCACAGGTATTCCCTTTGATTGCCTTCTTAGATCTTTGATTGCCTTCTTAGATCTTCCTTCTTTCCCCACTTCTTTGTAGTGTTCCTTGTGTTAATTGCAGGCATGATATTCTTCCGATTAAAATCGGAATTCCGATTTTTTGGGGAATCGCCCCCTCCTTTCCCTCCACCCCTTCTTCTCCTCCTTCCCCTCCCCTCGGAGGCCCCGAGTCAGGAGTTGCTGGCGCGGCTCCAGTCCCGCGTTGCCTCAGGAAGGGAAAGGCAAAAAGGAAGAGCCGCGGCGGCGCTTTGCAACGGCAGCAGCGGCTCCTGGTTTTGCCTTTCCCTTCCCGAGGCAACGCGGGACTGGAGCCGCGTGGAGCTGCGCCGGCGGTAGCAACTCCTGACAGCCCCAGCCGGATACCTGAGCGGAGCCCGGGCGGTGCGAGCGGAGGCCGCTGAGCAGCAGGAAAAGGGAGCTGGGCCAGCCACAGACCAGCCTCCGTGCAACACACCGCCGCCCGGCCCCGGCGAGGGAAAGCAGCGGGCGCTCCCCGGGCGTGCGGTGGGGGGTCTCTTTTGTCCGGCCCCGATTTTTTTTCCAGAGCGGAATATCATGCCTGTAATTGTCTATTTAAAATGTCTTCTCCTTGAGTCGACTCCTCCTCCTCTGAAGCTCTTTCTTCTTGTTCTTCAATCGCCATTTCCATTTTTTCTAACACAGAGCAAAGTTCACCTCTTTCACCTCTTTCCTCTAGTAATTCTCTCATATTTTTAAGTTCCATTTTTAATTCCCGAAGAGATATCATCATTACACACTCTTATATTTTATGATCGTTAAAGTCCACAAAAAAACCACTTTTACTTTCCTTCTTCTTTCAATTTTCTAAAGTTCTCAGTTATTCCAGCCCAGGGTCTATACCAAAAACATCAATTAATCCCACAGTCAGTCTTTCCTTGCTTTTTCCTTTATTCTGGTTCTGCTTGCACTTTCTAAGATTCTTACTTTGTTTCAATATTTCTTTAATGTTATATCCACACAAGTTCATTCAGAAACAGGATGCTTTCCGTTTTGTTTGAGCTCAAGTTTTTGTCAAAAGGTGGCACTCTCCATTATACAAAGTCTTCACCTTTTTCCCCTATTTTTTTATTTAGGGTTTTTTGAACCTCAATATTCCAGCACAGTCCGGTCTCCAATTTGTAAACTTTATTATTATTATTTTTTGACAATCTTAAGTCCAGCTTTATTTTATGCCTGTTTATTCCCAAAATATTTTAGTCCAACTTAGTTAAATCTTTAGTTCCGGCTTCTTCCTTTCCCGGTTCGAAGCCCCACTTAGCTGTCAAAAATATTTTCTTATTTTTTTTCCTGTCCCTTTGTAATTTCGCCACTCACTTTTCTTTTCTTAAAAATTCCATGTTACCTTAATCCCGGGGTACTTTTGTTTAGTTGTATTGCCCAGTTGTCCCGGTTCAGATGTTATCCACCTCTTTCTTCCCTCCTGCACAAATCTTAATCCAGCTGAGTCCTCCTTTTTGTGGTGGCCATTTTAAACCACCGCTGCAGTCGTCTTCGGGGGGGAAAAAGACCAAGCCCAGGGGGGGGAGATGCGGCTCCCCTCAACCTGGCTTGTGGCTTCCCCTTACTCCACTGCCCCTCTAAGGCAGCTTCAGCCCCTAATCGTAATGATAGGGGGTCTCCAACAAAAGAGCATGGACCATAGCCACAGAGAGTCGCGATCTGCGGTCTGTCAGCAAGGAGGCTCCGCCTTCTTCCTCAACCATGCAGTTTTCTTGGCAACCTTATGGAAGTGGTTTTCCACTGTCTTTTTCCAGGATGGTTTTGATTTTCGAACCTGACTGGACCCTGGTTTTCCTTGATAGTTTTCTGTTCACAGCTGATCCAGGCTGGACCCTGCATAGCTTCCTAGTTCAGAAAGGGTCAACCTGGTGCTGCCACCTGCAGGTCTGTGAATATTTTTTTAATTACAGTACTTCCTTATGGCAATTGGCCTTCTAGAATAGAGGCTTCTTGGAGGCTTCTTTATTACCATTATTATTATTATTATTATTGTTGTTGTTGTTGTTGTTGTTATTTTAGCATTTTCCTCTGCCCATGGGGGAATTAAATTAATTTTTTGAAATTAATTAAGTATTTCATGTTTCTGTTCTAAAAATCTTTCCCTCCCTCCATCAGGGCATTCTTCCTGCACAAGAAAGCCATCTGTACTCTACACAACCTGCTATGCAGTCATGACTCTGATAGCCGCTACAGGGACCCTACTGTGCGAGCCCAAGTCGCTCAGCTCTATTTGCCTCTGATTGGCATCATCATGGATGCTCTACCGCAGCTCTATGACTTTACAGGTAAGGCAAGGGGTGAGGGGTGCAGAGTAACACTGCCAAAGGAGACCATTTTTCTAGTCCACTGTTGCCAGTGGTAAGTCTGCTATCATCAGGTCTTTAAGTAGTTAGTGTATTAGCTTCACTACAGCCATAACTTCTTGGCGACTGCATTTGCTTTCATACAGATTCCAGCAGCCCAGGCTTGGTCATGTCAGTACCCTTTTTTCCCAAACACCAACTTATTGTTCTAACAACAATGGTTGGCCTTTACTTTAAAAAGAAAAAAATGACTACCTCCATGGCTTCAAACACATTTTAATTTTAGTGTGCCATTTCATTGTGTTTTTACGATATTTTAATCAGCGGATTATGTGTTGATTTTTGTTAGCTACTTTTAATATCTAAACACAGAAACGTTTTGTTCCTGATTTATTTTCATAGCTGGAACACCATTAAAGTGGCTGACTGGATGGAAAAAACTTACTTTTCTTTCTATCACTCAAACACTAGTCAATTCTGTTTTACAGAGAACCACCTCCAGAGAGGACGGCTTGCTTCAGTGATGGTTGACGATGGAAATGGAGATGGCAGCACCATTAGCCAGTCAGTTGCCATGGCCATTGCAGGCTCTCCTTTGCCTCATACTCATCGGTCTACGGTCTTCCAAATGCCATCAATGGTGAGTGTCTATTGATCTTGGGAAATGGGAACATACAGTAGAACAGAACATCACACTCTGGATTTGAAGCTTCACAATTTCCAGCTTTGAGGAAATTTTCTCTCAGAGATGAGACCATGTGCATTTTGGATTTGTATCTCTCCCAATGCCTTGAATCCAGCCACACAAGAACTCTTTGTTATACCCATAGGTCTCAGGAGACAATCCAGCAAACAGATAGGAACTTGCCCTCTCAGCAGCCTTCTCATAATCATCCACACATGCTGAATATTGTGGGACATCCCAAAATAAAAGGCTCTCAAATGCCAAGTTAGGGAGTGGCCCCTGGGAATACATCTATTGTGCATATCCTTTGATTAAAACAGTATCATGAGCAAACTTGAACCAAGCTTGATAATAAGCATCATAAGCCAAAAAAAAGGCAGTGCAAGTCATTTATTCTGGATGGCATCTAAAAGCTGTAGAAGATATATGAAGCTGCCATGTAGCACGTTAATTCATGCAAGGAAGTCTATTCTTTTTGGTTGTGAGTGGTAGTGTGTTTCAGGTTCCAGGCTGGAGTTTTCTGTTCTAATTGGAGATGCCAGGGATTGAATTGGAGCCATCTTCACATAAAGAACTTGCTTGACCACCAAGATATAACACTTGCCTGCAGATACAACTCTTTCCCCCCTCCTTTGGATGGTACCAGTTCTTCCAATTAGAGTAGATTAGATCAATGAACTCCTATCATGCACAGCATAAAACATGTTTAGAGTTTGTTCATGATCTGTTCTGTGTGGCTTTTGTTTGTCTGCAGCCTCCCCGCCAGTACAGTATGTTGTCTGCTGAGGCAAGTCGCAATCTGCTGATCTGTCTTCTCTGGGTACTGAAGAATGCTGATGGGGCTATGCTACATCGTTGGCTGGCTGACCTCTCAGCTTTCCATGTGAACCGTCTTCTTGACTTACTCTACCTTTGTGTCTCCTGCTTTGAATACAAGGTTAGAAGAAGATTGAGAATTATATTTTGATTCCCTTCCTCTCCTTTAAAGATTGAGATAAAAACAAGAATACTGTCTTTGGCTCATATTCTATTTCCCCAGAAGTTGGTATGAAAGCCAAAAATATAATTCATAGACTTTTTTGTCACAAGCTCCTAACCTGAGTATAAAATCTTTGTCTAAAAGCAACATGGTACTTAGGAAGAACTGAAAAAATATAATAATGTATTGAATTTTTAAGCAAAACTTAACTATAATTTAGCCTGTGAAAGAGTTTAATGAATATCAATATAATTAATTCACCTGAGTCAAATAGCAGGAAAGTAAAACTGAATTTAAAAAGTCAGTTATTCTTGTGCTGTGCTTTAGTATGCTCAGCAGAACAGGTTGGTTATGGTTAGGGACAGGAAAGAGTGATGTATCTTTCCAAAGTCAGAAAATTTCTTCTTAGAGTCTTCTGTGTGGATACTGGATGGGAAGACAAATGCAGGAAAAAAATAAACCCAGTGACTTAAAAATACTTTAATTTGGCCCCCATGTTATCAGCATTTTCATAAAATATTGAAAAATCTCTTGAGTTTTTTAAAAATGGATTGTTAATAGCAGTGAGTGGAAATGGAGGGAATATGGGGTTATTAATGAAATTTTGAAATGGGCTGAGTGAAACTGAGATGTGACAGTGTTCTAGAGTATCTGGTGCTGAGATTGTAAGCTGATTTGGCTTCAGCACCAATACTTTTAGTGGACCCAACAAATCATGATGTTCCTTGCTGAACTCCTGAATAGCCCTTTCATTACTTTATTCTAAGGGAAACTATTTTTCCTATTTCTGAAGAACTGTGGGCAATTGATTGGCAGATCTTGTTCCTGCAGTCAAGTATCTTCTTCTTTCTTAATGAGGACTGATGCCATCCCATAGGGCAAAAAGGCCTTTGAACGCATCAATAGCCTGACCTTCAAAAAATCTCTGGACATGAAGGCGCGACTGGAGGAAGCCATCTTAGGCACTATTGGGGCACGTCAAGAAATGGTTCGACGCAGCCGAGGTGAGACAAGCCAAAGTGCATGAGGCAGTGGAACTGCTTCCACGGTTCCCTCTTCCCACAAGACGGACCATTTCTGGGCCACATTTACTGCAAATTTAGCCAGTGGTAGTAAAAATTCTGAAGAAAACAAACACATTGGATTTGATTTTCTTTAGTTTTTAGATCGGTTCAAATGGAAAAAATTAAGAAAGAAGTTTCTATTTGTTGTAGTGCTATGGAAATGAATCCATAATTAAAAACATCCTGATTTTTCAATGTTGCACCATGGTAAAATCCTATTTGTAGTAAGGATGTTCTGTTTGAAGTAAAATCAAGAACCCAGAGGGGTCTCCCATTCAGGGGGAAGGATGAGAGGAAGAAGCTGGTCATTTAAGCACTTTCCCCTCAAAACACATTTTGTTTTGCAGTGGTGAAAGCCAGATCCTTTCCCCTTTTTTTCAGCAGAGCGCAGCCCTTTTGGAAACCAAGAAAATGTTCGCTGGAGGAAGAATATTGCTCACTGGAGACAGAATTCGGACAAGGTGGACAAGTGCGTTTGTGGGCAATTCTGACATATCTGCACATTGAGAGGCCTTCATCCTGCAGTGGATAGACAATAGCTAGGATGAGGGTGATGGGCATATTCTGCTTCTGAGGAGTCAGTGTGATACATATTTGATCAGCCACATGTAGCAGGTTTTTTTTTCTCATTTCATTTTAATTACATGTACACATTTCTTCCAAAGAAGAAGAAGAAATTGATTTGGTTATTGCATGTTACCTTTCAGAGTCACTTCATTGGGCTTTTCTTATTCTAGCAGCTATATGAGTGGAAGCCTCTGGAAGTAATACAAAAGAAATTAAATAATGCACTTCTCATGTCAGTTCAGAAATTGGGAGATAGAGATCTTAGTCTTAGCTTCATCTCTTTCTGTGAATTTCAAAGGTTTCCTTCAGACCCAAAAGGCAGTAATTCAACCTTTACTCTTTGAACCCTTCCATTGTAATCCAAATTTTACCTTTCCCAAAATGAGTTAATTCATAGTACAATAATACTATAATTTGGTTCAGTAATACAATAATAACCTTTCACTGCACGTAAAAGTATAGTCATAAGAAAAGCCCTGAAGGACCAGGCCTTAGGCCTATTGAGTCCAGCATTCTGTATCATATGCTACCTGATATCATTCTATATTATTTAGCATTCCATAACCTACAATCAAATAGATGCATTTGGGAAGTTTCCAGGCAAGACTGGAAAGCTATGGTCCTTTTCTACAATCATACGTACCAGTCATGTCCCAGCAAACAGTATTCAAGGTTTTTTTTTAATTTCTGTTTCTCTGTTCATTGCCTTCCATTAACTCAACAGCCTAATTTTGTTTCTATTTGATCATTTTTCTTGGGGAAAGATAAACCAACAGTTTTGCGGTAGCCAGTTACTTTCACATAATGTCTTGGGGGAGACTCCCTTTTGGGAAAAATCATTCTGCTCTTTTTCTCTGAAGGCAAATGAGGTAGCCCAGTGATCAGAAAACAACTAAATAAACTTTGCAAATTTGAGACATTAATGTTCACTTTCATTATCATTTACATAGGTCAAAGGAAGAGATAGAACATGATGCTTTGGTAGATGGAAACCTGGCTACAGAGGCCTACATGGTGGTGCTGGATACCCTGGAAATTATTGTGCAAGTAAGACCTAGCCTTACTCATTATGATAAAGCTTTGAGTTTCAGTAAATCTGTCTTGTCCTCTAAATGTGAGGTTTCTACTATCTCTGTTATGGTGCATTCAGAACTGGTCTTAAAGAGAAAGGATCCTGCTTCCCAAAATGCATCCGATAAGTTTAGACCTAGACTTAGAATAACTTTATTGTCACTTTGAATGTACACTAATCGGCATACATTAAAATGAAATTTAGTTGCATAGATCACCATCTTCAATATATACTACATAAACATGACAAAATAAATAAACATATAAATACAAAATTATGCATATACTGACATATTATATGACACGGAGAAACAACACAATCTAGTTCGTATGTATAGGTGTGCATGGCGAGAGAAATGAATCTTGCACGTTTACCGGATGGATGGCTTAGGGAACAAAGCTGTTACAGAGTATGATAGTCCTGCTAGAAATACTTTGAAATCTCCTCCCAGAGGGGAGCAACAAAAACAGACCATGAAGTGGGTGTATAGGGGTGTCTAACAATGCTTTGAGCTCTAAGCACATAGTGCTTATAAGCAGTATCCTGAATAACAGTAACTGGGCTTCCTATAATCTTCTTGATTGTCCTTACTACTCTCTGTATGGACTTTCTCTCTGAGGCACTGCAGCCACCAAACCAAACATTGATGCTGTTTGTTAAAATGCTGTCAAGAAATTCAAGAAGAAACCAACATGGCTGCACAAAGATCTCTCTTACAAACTGAAAGACAAAAAGGACAAGGGGGGGGCGGGGGGAGAGAGAGAGAGAGAGAGAGAGAGAGAGAGAGAGAGAGAGAGAAAGAAAGAAAGAAAGAAAGAGAGAAAGAAAGAAAGAAAGAAAGAAAGAAAGAAAGAAAGAAAGAAAGAAAGAAAGAAAGAAAGAAAGAAAGAAAGAAAGAAAGAAAACACTATCAGGAAGCTCTCACATTTTGTTGAGGCTTTAAACAAGATTCATTGGACCAGATCTCCACCCTAAAAAATTACTTTTCCCCAATGTATTACAGTGCCAATTCTGAAGAAGGCAAAACCAAAATGTACTGGTAAATTACAAGGAGAATACACACACACACACTCCCTTCTAACCCTGCTGGAGCAGGTGATTGGGCTAGAATAGATATCTCATTATCTTTCTCCTCCCTCCCTCCCTCCCTTCCTCCTTTATTTCTTTTTCTTTCTGTCCCTTCCTTCCATCTCCCCCTTTCTTTGTCTGTCCCTTTTTCTTTCTTTCCATTTTCTCTTTCTTTTCTTCCTTCTCTCTTTCTCTCTCTCTTTCTTTTCTCTCTCTCTCTTTCCATCTCTCAGGCTCAACCCATTGACTTGGTGCACTGCTCCGCTTGGACTTGTTTGGGCAGGTCCCTCCAGTGCAGCGGGCTCAATGGGGTGGACCTGCGAGGCTGGCATCTAGAACACGGCAGTAGCAGCACATTTGAAAAGTAGAGCAAAGCTAGAGGTCAGTAATTTTTGCTGCAAAGAATCACAAAAGCTTCTGGGTTGTGCACAAGAAGGGACACACATGTTGTCAGCAACATAAAATAAAGAAATACAAATAAAAATCAACAAGAATTGGCAAAGCATCTCTGATCAGATTCTATTCACTACTAGAATCTAATCAGAGATGCTTTGCCGATTTTAGTCCAATGACCTGCTCCAGCAGGGTTGGAAGGGAGTGTGTGTGTATGTGTGTGCATGGCTGTCAAAACTCCAAAAACAGGTCAAGTAGCTTTGGAGAGGCCAGTCATAAATTAGAACACTTGCTAAACAACTGGCCATTTAGTGAGGACCACTTGTATTTGGTTTGCCAGTCACCTGGCCACGCCCACCAAGTCACATGACCACCAAACCACGCCTAGCCAGTCACGTGACCAGCAAACCACGCCCACCCAGTCATATGACGAGTAAGCCATGCCCACCCAGTCACATGACCAGCAAGCCACACCCTCAAATTAGGCCATGCCCACAGAAATTTGAATCCCAACCCTGGGTGGGGGGCACCGAGGATGAGTTTGTAGCACCAAGGGGGCGGTGGACTGAAAAAGTTTGGGAACCACTGCTATAGACCAATCAGTCTAATATCAATACCTGGGACAATTCTGGAAAAGATAATCAAAAAATAGATATGCGAACAACTAGAAGCAAATAAATTTATAACTAATAGTCAGCATGGGCTTGTAAAAAACAGATTATGCCAAACCAATCTTATTTCATTCTTTGATAAAGTGACTTAATTAGTAGACTAGCGAAATGCTCTGGACAGAGTATAGCTAGACTTCAGCAAGGCATTCAACAAATAGACCAAACCTACTTCTTGGTAAGCTAGAAAAGATAGACAGCATCATCACCAGATGAATTTGTACCTGGTTAATAAACTATACCCAACGAGTAATCCTTAATAGTACCATATCCCCATGGAGAGAAGTAAGTAGTGGAGTACCCCAAGGCTCCATCTTAGTCCCAGTACTCTTCCATATCTTTTGCATGACACTAAACTGGCAGGAATAGCCAACACCCCAGAAGACAAGCTCAGGATCCAAAAAAATCTTGACAGACTTGAACAATGAGCCCTATCCAACAACATGAATTTTAATGTGGAGAAAAGCAAAGTTTTACATTTAGGCAGGAAAAACCAAATGTAAAAGTACAAATTCAGCGAGACCTGGCTCAAAAACAGTACCTGTGAGAGGGACCTTGGAGTCCTAGTGATAATCACTTGAATATGAGCCAGCAGTGTGCAGCAACAGCCAAAAAACCTAACACAATCATGGGTTGTATAAACAGAGACATAGAATTAATATCTCATGAATTATTAGTACCACTTTATAAAACCCTGGTAAGACCACACCTGGAATACTGCAACCAATTTTGCTCACCATACTACAAAAAAGATGTTGCGACTTTGGAAAAAGAAGAGCAACTAAGATGATCAAAGCCTGGAGACTAAAACATATGAAGAATGGCTGCAGGATTTGGGTCTGGCTAGTCTAAAAAAAAGAAGAATTGGAGGTGACATCATAGCAGTATTTTAGGGGCTGCCACAAAGAAGAGGGGGTCAAATTATTCTCCAAAGCACTGGAGAGCAGGACGAGAAACAATGGTTGGAAACTAGTCAAGGAGAGAAGCAACCTGGAATTAAGGAGAAACTTACTAACAGTGAGTACAATTAACCAGTAGAACAGCTTGCCTTCAGAAATCGTGGATGCTCCATCACTGGATGTTTTTAAGAAGAGTCTAGACCTATCTAAAACGGTATAGGTTTTCCTGCTTGACTAGAAGACCTCCAAGGTCCTTCCAGCTCATTCATTCTTTTCTATACTATTACAATTCCTGTGTCTATAATAATAACAACTCTGATTATTCCTAGTCATGATGATTCTCAGAAACACACTGTTGAGCAAAATTCACTTAATATGTTGGGTAAGGCCTGAAAATAAAGGATGAATGGGTGGCATATAGAAACTAAGCTGGACCATAGACGTTAAGAAACAAAACATATCTATGACATAGGAGCTTCTCTAGGTTTCACTAGTGACAATAAGTGAAGTACTAATACTTAAGACAGGCAATCTGTCTTAAATAGAAAACCAGACCCAGTAATACTAAATAGGTTCTGCAAGCCCTCATATTACTAGCCATACTGAAGTTTCTGTTAAGTTTCTTTGCCTGCAAGCAGACTTCACATCTTGATGTAAAAATCTGAGTTATAAACTCTATAAAGGGATCCCACAATTTAGCAGGGACTTAATTGGTCTCCATTGCATTTCAAGGAAATTCTGTATCAAAAGAAATACAGTGCTTCTCAAATATCGTGCCAAATAGTTTTATTTATCATCTACTTCATATAAGGAATCTGCAGATAATAAGGTAAGAAAATAGCTTTCTTTTAAATTTAAGAAATGTTACATTTCTTGTGATAAAACATTTCCTTAAAATACATTTGGAATCTCATTTACTTGTGCAGCTATCATTTTGTTCCTACGTTGTAATAAAGGGTGATAGCATGAAACACTCCTTCATTCTGCAGTGTAACGAATTCATTTTTTCTTCCTTCCCCTCCCCCACAGACAGTATCTGAAACCAAGGAGAGTGTCCTGGGTGGGGCGCTGAGGGTGCTTCTTCACAGCATGGGCTGTACACCTAGTGCTGCTTTCTTGCAACACTGTTTTGCCACTCAGAGAGCACTAGTGAGCAAGGTGAGTCTGCTTGGTAAGGAAAGTCTCGTCGAATGCAGTTCCTTCCAGTCAATCTGCAACTTTTGCAAGGATCATGATCTGCTAGGAGACATCTTGCTTGCCCAGGTGCTTCCTTGTCTGAGATGTGTCTGCTATTGTCCATAGCAGATTTCCTCAGTCAGTATACTCCAGATATGGAACAGCCCACATGGCAATAGCATTTCTATCTATTGCATTTCTATCTCTCTAAGTGGTTTACAGAGTCAGCATATTGCCCTCAACATTCTGGGTCCTCATTTTACCCACCTCGGAAGGATGAAAGGCTGAGTCAACCTTGAGCCTTGTGGGATTTGAACTGCCAAATTGCAGGCAGCCGATAGTCAGCAGAAGTGGCCTGCAGTACAACCACTGCGCCACCGAGGCTCTTAAAAAGACTGTTAATTGTTCAAAGTCCAGTGGGAGGCCTGGGTTAGATCTTCCTGTTTTGAATGTTTTAATACCTTAGGGTTTAGAAGTGATACACAATTGGGTTGTATATTTCACTAATATAAATTGGGTGGAATCTCCAATACTTTCTACCCATCCTTTACAACAAACAGAGTGGGTATATTCTAGCCCCCTTAATTAAACATTGAGATTGCCTTTTCTGTTGCAGCACTTGCCCTTTAGAATAATATCCACCTAGAACAGTGTTTCCTACCTTAGCTGTTTTAAGATATATGAGCCTCAGGTCTTCAATTCTGGGAGTTGAAGTTCACACATCTCAACATAGCTAAGGTTGGGAAATATTGCTCTAAGATTTGTATAACTTCTACCCTGATTTATATTTAAAACCTGGCTGTTGCTTCAAGCCTTGAGCCCTTATAGGATTATATTTGTTTAAAGGATTATATTTTCAGATATACTAGTTGGTGTTTCTTAGTATTTTATTATGTTTTAATGCTGTATGCTGCCTGGAGTCATATAGAATTTAGTGGACTTCCACATCTAATTAAATAAATAACAAATTAGAAAAACAATTTTTATCATTGTCAAATCAGATAACTTGAATCCCATGCTTACAGTTCCCTGAAATGCTTTTTGAAGAAGATACTGAACTGTGTGCTGATCTGTGCCTGCGTCTCCTACGCCACTGTAGTAGCAGAATAGCGATCATTCGCACCCATGCAAGCACCTCACTCTACCTTCTCATGAGGCAGAACTTTGAGATTGGCAATGTAAGTGCTATTGGGAAAAGGAGTTTATGTGTGGGAGCATTAAGGGGTAGGACAGTTCTCCATACAGCTGCTTTTTTGAGGGCAGAGCAGCGACCTTTTTCTCTCTTCCAATTTTCAATGTTTTAGGCCCATGACCTATTTTACATTACTTTTATCTGCTTGCTTATAATACATTTATTTCCTATTCACATGCTGTGTCTTCCTATTTTGTTGTCTCCCCCCAACTCCATTCTTTATTATTTATTTTTATTATTTTGTTATTAAGATAGATTGGGTTAAAATATACTGCTTGATTCCATGAGTTTTGTGTCAAGAAGAGACACAAAGCATTGCCAAGACAGTTCACCATGCTTGCCTGACTGTCATGTGTTTTTATAATATATAATATATATGTGTGTGTTTGTGCATGTGTGTGTGTATCAATAAAATATTTATGGCAACCCATGGCCTTACAGAAACTGAAAATGCCACCTTTTCAAACTGCGACAAGCCATCATCATTTCCATTATGCTTGTTTGCAAAACACTTAGCACTTCAGGGCATTTACCCAAGAAGTTTTTGCCTTAGGTTGGTTGGCTGAAGGGGCTAGATATGATGAAGAAAGCAGGGAGTTTCTTTTTTATGTATGTCTGGAATTTTGTTAACACTAAAAAGAAATACCTTTTTGAAATTTTCTTATACAGAACTTTGCCCGAGTGAAGATGCAGGTCACCATGTCCCTCTCCTCGCTTGTGGGAACATCTCAGAACTTCAATGAGGAGCACTTGAGGCGCTCACTGAAAACCATCCTTACCTATGCTGAAGAAGACCCGGAGTTGCGAGAGACAACCTTTGCTGAGCAGGTATTGTGCGCAGTACCATAAATTGCTTGCAAGAGATTTGGGGCAAGACTTGGGCCTTGTCTTGGTTTGCCCATACCCAGCTAGAAATATTACCTTTTTAAGATCCAAAAAACTTAAAACATTGCATTTCTCTTCTTTCTTTCTTTCTTTCTTTCTTTCTTTCTTTCTTTCTTTCTTTCTTTCTTTCTTTCTTTCTTTCTTTCTTTCTTTCTTTCTTTCTTTCTTTCTTTCTTTCTTTCTTTCCTCCCTCCCTCCCTCCCTCCCTCCCTCCCTCC